CCAATATTTGTTAAACTTTAGATTTTTCAATTTTCGATTGTTTTATACATATTTGCATTTCTGAATTTTTCGAGTTTTCAGTTCTTATATATTTCAATTTTTCTTTATTCCGAATTTTTTATTTTTCGATTTTTCAATTTTTTGATTTTCCCATAAATACAAACGAATTGCAATAACCGGATCATAGTGCCGACGGTCCAGACTTTTTTTATTGCTCTGACTTCCACTTATTGAATAAAACACTACATTTTATTTTGATTTTCGATATAGTAATTCACTTTGGGTTAATTATAAGTTATCTGGATCCCGACAGACTCCATTACTGTACGTCCCTAGGTTATCCTCGATAAGAAAACAAGTTGGAAGTGTTTATGTTTATACATAGGAAGAATCTCACGTAGAAATTAGTTTTATAATTCTGGACGTTTCGAGTAAAAACCTATCTCGGACTCATAAACTACATGTGCAGGACTTACGTTATTTTATTATTTAGTTTTAAATATTTCTAGACATTCTACGATGTCTCGAAATTTGTAAATACAGCAGATAGCGTTAGACATAAATTTACATACCAGGTACAGTTCTGTCCTTATTAGACGCTACTGACGGATCTCGCTTCCATTGATTCTGTCATGAAAGCGAATTCGTGTAAAGTACAGTAAGCGAACACTATTTATACAAAGAGAGAATTGGAAGGATGTTCACGTCAAGGCGATAACATCTATCGTGAGCTCCATCGACCCGTTGTGAAGCCATCATTGATGATATTCAGTTTAAAGTTGCGGCGAGACAAAAATCACCCATGTACCATTTGATTGCTCACGCGAAATTCAGCCACAAATCGTCAATAACTAACGTCAAAGAACGAACTCGCTTTTGAAAGCTCTAATAACGTCACGGCTATCAAAAATCCAGTTGTTGACTTTTCATTTTGACGACGCTATTTTTTACAATTAAATTTGTCTACCAGCGCAATTACCGAGCAGGCGAAATTTGAAATTTCAGCGCTTCTCGTAATTGGGATTAATGTTAAGAATATTAAAAGCGAATCTCTTGGGTTGAATAAGTTTAAATGCTAGGCAAGCTCTGACGCGACGCAAACGTCATTCTGGAAATTCATCAGGCATAAAACATTAATCTTTATACTAAATGTCATGAAGCTGAAATTTATTCACCGTTTGAAACTTGCAAGGACGCTTAAATTCGCTTAATTCTGGCTGGATGTTACTGCAGTGTGAAAGTTCGTATTATACGCTAGCCAATGGACATTTCTTCAGTGACAATTTTTATCAAAAATTGTAGTATATGAATCCGTGTTTAGTTTTATCCTAGACATTTAGCTTGCGTTCGGGAAGTAAAAAGTGGTTTGAAAGTGACAATTTGAATACTTGAATACACATTTTTGCCTCCTGTAACCACCTCTTTCCCTAGCCACCTCTTCGAACTTCTGCTTATCGAGTAATAAAATGTTCTCGGGAAACATGTCGTCCATTTGTGCCACATAACATTCAATTACGGCAATCCATAAATCACCAAAAAAGAAACGCTTCCACCGTTGAAGCAATCAAATAAAACAAAAATCCTGTCTCTAGGACGTCCATAAAGTGTGCAATACTTTGTTGACAATTGGTCGAAAGTTGTTTCGATAGAATTTTAGACAATTTGTGGCAAATTACAAACCCTCTAAGAAAATAGAGGGTGGGTAGGTATAGCTAGAATTTGTTAAAATAAGATTGATTTTGGTAAAAGACTGAATAATTTAAAAAGTAATCACTGGAATGAAGAGAGGGTGGTTGGGTGGGGCTATTGGTTGCTTATAAAAGATTCTATAGGAAGAAGTTAAACTTAGCCCCGCCCACCCACCCACCCGTTCTCTCATTTTTTTTCTTCAGAAATAAGAAATAAATATTATAGCAAATCAGTAGTATTACAAAAAAATTACGATTAACGCTTTTTTTAATAGCCTACGTTCTATTAGCTCCCATTCTTATTTTGCAAAAGAATATATAATTCACCCCGCCCACCCACCCCGCCTTGATTTTGGTAAATGACTGAACAATGTTATGAGTAATCACTGGAATGAAGAGAGGGTGGGCGAGCGCAGTTATTGCTTGCTTATGAAGGATTCCGTAGAAAAAAGTTAGCCCCGCCCACCCACCCGTTCTCTCATTTTTTCTACAGAAATAAGAAATGAATACATATTATAGCAAATGAATAATATAACAAAAAATTACGCTTAACGCTTTTTTTTAACAGTCTACATTCTACTAGTTTCCATTCTCACTTTACAAAAGAACATATAATTCACCCCACCCACCCACCCCGCCTCCATTTCAGTGGTTCACTTTGACTAGTCCGAATGAATGGTGGATCTAAAGTGAAGAGAAATAAAATCGTTGGAATGAGTACAGCATGCGTTGCCTATTTATAAAGAGGGTAAAACCTTTTCGAGGGACCCAACGGTCTGTTTTAAGATTGTAAAACCTTCCAAGTATCTATCTTTGAAGAAAGTGGAACCTTCTCAGGGGTCCCCACTGTCTCTGTCTGAAGAAAGTGAAAGCTTCTCTCTGCCCCACTTTCGAAGAAAGTGAAGCCTTTTCAGGGGTCCCAACTGCCTTTTTTTAAGTATTTGAAACCTCTTCAGTGGTCTCAGCTGCCTATTTTTAAAGAGGGTGATACCTTCCCGAGGGATCCAACTGATTTTTTTTAAGTTCGTAGAACCTTCCCAAAGGCCCCAACTGTCCTTTTTTGAAGAAAGTGAAACCTTCTCAGGGGCCCCAACTGTCTTTTTTTCAAGAAAGTGAAAGCTTCTCTGGGGTCCCACCTGTCTTGTTTTGAATAAAGTAAAGCCTTCTCAGGGGCACAAACTGTCTTTTTTAAGAATGTGGAACCTTCGCAGGGGTCCCAACTGCCCTCTTTTTAAAAAGAGTGAAACCTTTTTGAGGGTCCTAAGTATCTGTTTTAATATTATAAAACCTTCTCTGAGGGTCCAGCTGTCCGTTTTTGAAGAAAGTGAACCCTTCTCAAGGGCTTCAACTGTCTTTTTCAAGTGTGTGAAACCTTCTCAGGGGTCTCAACTACCTATTTTTAAAGAAAATAAATCCTTCTCAAAGGCCCCAGTTCTCTTTTTTTAAAGAAAGTGAAACCTGCTCTGGGGCCCCAAGTGTGTTTCTGTTTTGAAGAAAGTGAACCCTTCTCAAGGGCTCCAACTGTTTTTTTCATGTATGTGAAACCTTCTCAGGGGTCCCAATTGTCCTTTTTTGAAAAAAGTGCTGAAACCTTCTTAGAGGTCCCAACTGTCCATTTTTGAAGGAAGTTAAACCTTCTCAGGGCTCCGACTGTGTTTTCTTAAGAAAGTGAACCCTTCTCAAGGGCTCCAACTGTCTTTTTTAGTTCCCGAGCGTAAGCGAAGCAATTATTTAACCATGTGAAACCTTCTCAGTGAGTTCAACTGCCTATTTATAACGAAGGTAAAACCTTCTCGGGGGACTCAACGAACTATTTTAAGATTGTAAAACCTTCTGAAAAACCTCATTTAAAGTTGCAAACGTTTCTAAAGCCTCTAGGGCTTCCAAAATCTCCCAAAGTCTCTATATCCTCTTCTAAATCTCCAACCTAATCTAAAGTCCCAAAACCCTTAAAGCTTCTAAAGTCTCTACAGTCTATGACGTCTACAAAGACTCTAAGGTCTTCAAGGTCTCCAAAGTCTCTAGAACTTTACTCTCTTTAAGGTCTCTAAGGTTTCTAAAATCTCTAAAGTTTGAAGAGTTTTTAAAGCCTTCCCTAAAGTCGGCAAAGTCTGTAAAACCTCCAAAGTCTCTAAAATCTCTAAAGTATATATCTAAAGTCTCTAAAGCCTCCAAAATCTTTAAAATTTTTGATACCTCTTCCAAAGTGTCCACGTCTCTAAAGTCTCTAAAATACCTAAATGAAGAAAAAATCTTAAAACCTTTAAAGTCGCTTAGGCTCCTGAAGCTCCTGGAATGTCGAGAAGCTCTAAACTCTCTAATTCTCTAAAATCCGTAAGGCAATCTTTAATGTGTAGATTTAAAAAAAAATTGAAATAATACTTGAGTTTCCTAAATGAATTAAAAAAACCTGGAGGTGATTGGGGTTTTAATCTTGAAAGAATTTGAAAAAATCTAAAGCCTGTAGATGTATTCTGAAGCCTTTATATCTTATGAGGCCCTTGAAGTTCCTGAAGTACCTAAAAATCCTAAACCCTCTAGGTTCCCCAAAGCTTCTAGACTACCTAAATCTTCTGCTAACATTTCAAAAATGTCAAAAAGAATTTTGTGGGACTCCAAAGTCCACAAATTTTCAACAGTATTTAAAGTTTCTTTTATAGTCTCAACGTTTCGAAAGTTCATGGAGACCGTAAAGCTTCTGAGGGTCCCAACTGATTTTTTTAAGTTCGTAGAACCTTCTCAAACGCCACAACTGTCTTTTTTGAAGAATGTGAAACCCTCCCTTGGGCCCCAACTGTCTTTTTTTGACGAAAGTGAAATCTTCTCAGGGGTACCAACTGTCTTTTTTTTTAAGCAAGTGAAACCTTCTCTGGGCCCCAAGTGTGTTTCTGTTTTGAAGAAAGTGAACCCTTCTCAAGGGCTCCAACTGATTTTTCATGTATGTGAAACCTTCTCAGGGGTCTCAAATGCCTATTTTTGAAGAGGGTAAAACCTACTTAAAGGCCCCAGTCGTCTTTTTTGAAGAAAGTGAAACCTCCTCAGGGGCTGCGACTGCATTTTTCTTAAGAAAGTGAACCCTTTTCAAGGGCTCCAACTGTCTTATCTACTTCCCGAGCGTACGCGAAGCGAGTATTTAGGCATGGGAAACCTTCTCAGTGGTTTCAACTGCCTATTTATAAAGAAGGTAAACCCTTCTCGGGGGAGCCAACTGACTGTTTTAAGAACGTAAAACTTTCTCAGGGGCACTAACAGTCTTTTCTAGAAGAAAGTAAAACTTTCTCATGGTCCCCTGCTGTCTTTTTTTGAAGAAAGTGGGACCTCCTCTTAGCCCCAACTGTCTTTTTTTTTTAAGCAAGTGAAACCTTCTCAGGGGCCCCAAGTACGTTTTTGTTTTGAAGAAAGTAAACCCTTCTCAAGGACTCCAACTGTTTTTTTCATGTATGTGAAACCTTCTCAGGGATCTCAAATGCCTATTTTTAAAGAGGGTTAAACCTTGTCAAGGGTCCCAATCGTCTTATTTGAAGAAATTGAAACCTTCTCAGGGGTCTCAAATACCTAAATCTAAAGAGGGTAAAACCTTCTCAAGGGTCCCAATCGTCTTATTTCGACGAAAGTGAAACATTCTCAGGGGCAACAACAGTCTTTTTTTAAGTAAGTGAAACCTTCTCTGGGGCCTCAAGTGTGTTTTTGTTTTGAAGAAAGTGAACTCTTCTCAAGGGCTCCTACTGTTTTTTTCATGGATATGAAACCTTCTCAGGGATCTCAAATGTCTTTTTTTGAAGAGGGTAAAACCTTCTCAAGGGCCCCAATGGACTTTTTTTGAAGAAAGTAAACCTTGTCAGAGGCTCCGACTGTGTTTTTCTTAAGAAAGTGAACCATTCTCAAGGGCTCCAACCTTCTTTTTTAATTTCCGAGCGTAAGCGAAGCGAGAGTGTTTAAGCATGTGAAACCTTCTCAGTGGTTTCAAATGCCTAGATTTGAAGAGGGTAAAACCTTCTCAAGGGCCCCAATCGTCTTTTTTTGGACGAAAGTTAAACCTTCTCAGGGGCTCCAACGGTTTTTTTCATGTATGTGAAACCTTCTCAGTGGTCTAAAATGACTATTTGTAAAGAGGGTAAAACCTTCTCAAGGGCCCCAATCGTCATTTTTGGAAGAAAGTGAAACCTTCTCAGGGGCCCCAAGTGTGTTTTTGTTTTGAAGAAAGTAAACCTTTCTCAAGGGCTCCAACTGTTTTTTCATGTATGTAAAACCTTCTCAGGGATCTCAAGTGCCTATTTTTGCATAGGGTAAAACCTTGTCAAGGGTCCCAATCGTCTTTTTTTTAAGAAATTGAAACCTTCTCAGGGGTCACAAATGCCTATATTTGAAGAAGGTAAAACCTTCTGACGGGCCCTAGTCATCTTTTTTCGACGAAAGTGAAACATTCTCTGGGGCACCAACTGTCTTTTTTTTAAGCAAATGAAATCTTCTCTTTGGCCCCAAGTGTATTTTTGTTTTGAAAAATGTGAACCCTTCTCAAATGCTCCGACTGTTTTTTTCATGGATGTGAAACCTTCTCAGGGCTCTAACTGTCTTTTCTACTTTCCGAGCGAAAGCGAAGCGAGTATTTAAGCATGTGAAACCTTTTCAGAGGTTTCAATTACCTATCTATAAAGAAGGTAAAACCTTCTTGAGGGACCCAACTGACTGTTCTAAGACTGTAAAACCTTCTCAGGGGCACTAACAGTCTTTTTTAGAAGAAAGTAAAACCTACTCATGGTCCCCAGCTGTCTTTTTTTGAAGAAAGAGGGACCTCCTCTAGGGCACAACTGTCCTTTTTTTAAGCAAGTGAAACCTTCTCAGGGGCCCCAAGGGTGTTTTTGCTTTGAAGAAAAAAACCCTTCTCAAGGGCTCCAACTGTTCTTTTCATATATGTGAAACCTTCTCAGGGATCTCAAATGTCTATTTTTGAAGAGGATAAAACCTTGTCAAGGGTCCCAATCGTATTTTTTTGAAGAAATTAAAACCTTCCTAGGGGTCCCAAATGCCTATATTTGAAGAGGGTAGAACCTTCTCAAGGGCCCCAATCGTCCTTTTTCAAGAAGAAGATGAAACCTTCTCAGGGGCTCGGACTGTGTTTTCTTAAGAAAGTAAACCCTTCTCAAGGGCTACAACTGTCTTTTTTACTTCCCGAGCGTAAGCGAATCGAGTGTTTAATCATGTAAAACCTTCTCAGTGGTTTCAACTCCCCATTTATAAAAAAAGTAAAATCTTCTCGGGGGACCCAACTGACTGTTTTAAGATTGTAAAACCTTCTCAGGGGCACTAACAGTGTTTTTTAGAAGAAAGTATGACCTTATCATGATCTCCAGCTGTCTTTTTTTGAAGAAAGTGAGACCTTCTAAGGATCCCAACTGTCTTTTTTTATATATATGAAACCTACTCAGGGGTTTCAGCTACATATTTTTAAAGAGGGTGATACCTTCTCGAGGGACCCAACTGATTTTTTAAGTGCGTAGAACCTTCTCAAAGGCCCCAACTGTTTTTTAAGCATATGAAACCTTCCCTTGGGCCCCAACTGTCTTTTTTTGACGAAAGTGAAGTCTTCTCAGGGGCACCAACTGTCTTTTTTTTAAGCAAGTGAAACCTTAAGTGTGCTTTTGTTTTGAAGAAAATGAACCCTCCTCAAGGGCTTCAAGTGTTTTTTTTCATGTATGTAAAACCTTCTTAGGGGTCTCAAATGCCTATTTTTGAGGAGGGTAAAATCTTCTCAAGGGCCTCAATCGACTTTTTTTGAAGAAAGTGAAACCTTCTAAGGAGCTCCCACTGTTTTTTTCATGTATGTGAAACCTTCTGAGGGATCTCAAATGCCTATTTTTGAAGAGGGTAAAACCTTCTCAAGGGCCTCAAACGACTTTGTATGAAGAAAGTGGAACCTCCTCAGGGGCTCCGACTGTGTTTTTCTCAAGAAAGTAAACCCTTCTCAAGAGCTCCAACTGTCTTTTTTGCTTCCCGAGCGTAAACGAATCGAGTGTGTTCTTGTTTTGAAGGAAGTTGTGGTGGTTGGCTTTGCAAGGGACCAGGTATTAACTAATATCTGTTAATATATGCACGTGCAAAGTTCAATATGCGTAAACAAAAGGATGGCGAAAGACGCCGTAGCGAATATAAGTTAATACCTGGTCCCTTGCAAAGCCAACCACCACAGAAGTAAACCCTTCTCAAGGGCTCCAACTGTTTTTTCATGTATGTGAAACTTTCTCAGGGGTCCCAAATGCCTATATTTGAAGAGGGTAAAACCTTCTCAAGGGCCCCAATCGTCTTTTTTCGACGAAAGTTAAACCTTCTCAGGGGCACCAACTGTCTTTTTTTTAAACAAGTGAATCCTTCTCTGGGGCCCCAAGTGTGTTTTTGTTTTGAAGAATGTAAAACCTTCTCAGGGATCTCAAATGCATATTTTTGAAGAGGATAAAACCTTCTCAAGGGCCCCATTCGTCTTTTTTGAAGAAAGTGAGACATTCTCAGGGGCTTCGACTGTGTTTTTCATAAGAAAGTGAACCCTTCTCAAGGGCTCCAACTGTTTTTTTACTTCCTGAGCGTAAGCGAAGCGAGTATTTGAGCATGTGAAACCTTCTCAGTGGTTTCAATTGCCTATTTATAAAGAAGGTAAAACCTTCTCGGGGGATCCAACTGACTGTTTTAAGATTGTAAAATCTTCTCAGAGGCACTAGCAGTCTTTTTTAGAAGAAAGTAAAACCTACTCATTGTCCCCAGCTGTCTTTTTTTGAAGAAAGTGGGACCTCCTCTTGCCTCAACTGTTTTTTTTTTTAAGCAAGTGAAAGCTTCTCGGGGGCCCCAAGTGTGTTTTTGTTTTGAAGAAAATAAACTCTTCTCAAGGGCTCCAACTGTTTTTTCCTTGTATGTGAAACCTTCTCAGAGATCTCAAATGTCTATTTTTGAAGAGGGTAAAACCTTCTCAAGGGTCCCAATCGTTTTTCTCCGACGAAAGTGAAACCTTCTCAGGGGCACCAACTGTCTTTTTTTAAGCAAGTGAAATCTTCTCTGGGGCCCCAAGTGTGTTTTTGTTTTGAAGAAAGTAAAACTTTCTCAAGGGCTCCAACTGTTTTTTCCATATATGTAAAACCTTCTCAGGGATCTCAAATGTCAATTTTTGAAGAGGGTAAAACCTTGTCAAGGGTGCCAATCGTCTTATTTGAAAAAATTGAAACCTTCTCAGGGTTCTCAAATGCCTAAATTTGAAGAGGGTAAAACCTTCTCAAGGGCCCCAGTCGTCTTTTTTCGACGAAAGTGAAACCTCCTCAGAGGCACCAACTATCTTTTTTTAAGCAAGTGAAACCTCCTCAGGGACCCCAAGTGGGTTTTTGTTTTGAAGAAGGTAAATCCTTCTCAAGGGCTCCAACTGTTTTTTCCTTGTATGTGAAACCTTCTCAGAGATCTCAAATGCCTATTTTTGAAGAGGATAAAACCTTGTCAAGGGCCCCAATCGTTTTTTTCCGACGAAAGTGAAACCTTCTCAGGGGCACCAACTGTCTTTTTTTAAGCAAGTGAAACCTTCTCAACGGCCCCAAGTGTGTTTTTCTTTTGAAGAAAGTAAAACCTTCTCAAGGGCTCCAACTGTTTTTTCCATATATGTAAAACCTTCTCAGGGATCTCAAATGTCAATTTTTGAAGAGGGTAAAACCTTGTCAAGGGTCCCAATCGTCTTATTTAAAAAAATTGAAACCTTCTCAGGGTTCTCAAATGCCTAAATTTCAAGAGGGTAAAACCTTCTCAAGGGCCCCAGTTGTCTTTTTTCGACGAAAATGAAACCTCCTCAGAGGCACCAACTATCTTTTTTTAAGCAAGTGAAACCTTCTCAGGGACCCCAAGTGGGTTTGTGTTTTGAAGAAGGTAAATCCTTCTCAAGGGCTCCAACTGTTTTTTCATGTATGTGAAACCTTGTCAAGGGTCCCAATCGTCGTTTTTTGAAGAAAGTAAACCTTCTCAGAGGCTCCGACTGTGTTTTTCTTAAGAAAGTGAACCCTTCTCAAGGGCTCCAACTGTCTTTTTTACATCCCGAGCATAAGCGAAGCGAGTATTTAAACATGTGAAACCTTCGCAGTGATTTCAACTGCCTATATTTAAGGAAGGTAAAACCTTCTCGGGGGACCCAACTGACTGTTTTAAGATTGTAAAACCTTCTCAGGGGCACTATCAGTCTTTTTTAGAAGAAAATAAAACCTACTGATGGTCCCCAGCTGTTTTTTTTTTAAGAAAGTTAAACCTACTCATGGTCCCCAGCTGTCTTTTTTTATGAAGAAACTGAAACTTTTTCAGAGGTACTAACTTTTTAAGTATGTGAAACCTTCTCATGGACCCCAACTGTTGAAATGAAGAGCGGGAGGGTGGGCGGGGTTATTGCTTGCTTATAAATGACTCAGCGCGAAAAAGTTAAACTTAGCCCCTTCCACCCACCCGTTCTGTCAGTTTTTTCTTCAGAAATAAATACTTTAGCAAATAAGTAGTATAACAAAAAAATGCGATTAACGCTTTCTTTTAAATAGCGTATGTTCTATTAGTTCCCATTCTCACTTTACAAAAGAACATATAATATAATAAAAAAAAGGGTGGGTGGGCGGGGCTAGAACTTGCTAAGAGAGAACTAAGCAATATTAAGAATAGTCACTGGAACGAAAAAGGGGTGGGTAAAACTGAATTAGACAAATTTCGGTTATCGTTTTACGATATACATAATAGTCTTAATATAAATACAAACTTTAACAACATTTGGCCCGGTACTTTCTGAGATTATCTGTCTAATAAAAATCTGGGTACGGCAGACAGACGGACAGACAAACAGGCGGAAACTCTTCGTAAAATGTATACGACTAGGCAACGTAAAAATATTCAAACCAGGCGTCAAAGAAAATAACCCCGAAATCTCGGACAAGACACTTTCAGAAATTCAAACCCTCGTGATCGATCCCCCTAAACCACGTCTAAACTAAAATCTTGTTAACACCGACATGTGTTTCCTTTAAACCCCACGCCGACTACAAATTGCAGTTTTTTCCGCAAGTCTGGAAAATCTAGTTACAGCTTTATAAAAGCACAGTTCCAATTAGTGGAACGTCACAGCCCTGGGTGTCACAACCAGCGGACTTCATTACGAGATCGTAATCAAAGTGATTTACAACGCAATATTGATACCTCATGCACAAAGTCAGAGCTCCATGTCAGCAACACAAAGTAACAACAATTCGAGCTTCATTTAAGAACCAAACACGAAACACCTAATTCCATTTACCAATTAATTTAGATACAATTAAGTTCAAAGCTGCTACCATTTATGACGAAACCCAACCTTCAAGACTAACTGTCGAATCGCTATTTAGGGACGAACGTTTCTCAGCTATCGATTGTACGATAAATTATTCTTCAGATCATCGTCCTGGAAATTTCATGAGATAGAAGCCGATAATTTATTTTAGTTCTGCGGCCGTTGCCAGGAGTTTCGCCCGATCGAACAGGTGTAGTATTTGACGGAGTAACGGTTACAATTCGCCGTTGGACTAATCCTGTCTTTGTTACATTTTTACACGGGACTTCGTCTAATTAGCAATTAGTGCACTGCTTTCATCAGAGAAAATAAGCGTCTTAGCTCCCCGGAGCCTTGTTCACGTAATATCAAAGCACACCTTCTTTCAATTAATTTTGCTCCATATTTGTACCCGGAAATACCTCGACACTTGTTATTACGGCCGGCCGTGCAGATTTATCAGCGTTTTATCAGCGATACGCGAGTCAAAGCTATATCAGAATTACATATTTCCATGGAATATTAATAATGCAGCGAAAGCCACGAAATCATGTTCCTATTTTTATAAAGTTAAAAGAACGAGACAAAAGATAGAGCCGGAAAGGATCGATAAATAAAGTTGGCGAACGTTGCGAAAAGTAGCAGTCCTCAACATCAACAGTTTTACAACCGAAACACGACATAAATCCCGAAATGTCACGTGGCAGGAAAATCCTTCGGTTATTAATGACAGCCTTATCAAATAGATAACAGTAATAACGGGCGATCGATAGGATGATGAATTTGCAAGTAGATTTGTTGCAGGGCGATTTTGTACCATGGGAAGGGTTTGGGACCAGAGATAGGTGTCAAAAGTTGGTCGAAGGTTGCTTCGAGAGAACTTCCCGCGCCTCAAAGTACAGTCCACAAACTTCACTTCTTTGAAAGTTTGTAACATTTTTTGCGGTTTTTGTTCTCGGATAAATTCTATTGATTAAAGTTTTTCAATTCTTCAATTTTACATTGTAAAATTTTTCAAATTTCCATAATAATAATAATAAGAAGAAGAAGAAGTTTATTGCTCAACAGGTTTCCCTAATTACAGGACAAAATATAAGTATGAAATGATTTGAGTTACTCGAGGTCTCAATTTTTAATTTTTTTATTTTCTTTATTACCAAATTTTTCGATTTTTCAACATTCCGATTTGATATTTTTTTGGTTTTTCAATTTCAAATTATTCAAATTTTCATTTTTTTCAATTCTTCGTTTGTTTTTCATTTTCTTATTTTTTGAAATTAGTCGATATTTCAAAGTTCCGATTTTATATTTTTCTTGTTTCTTCAATTTTTAGATTATGCAATTTTTCAATAATACAATTTTTCAATTTAAAATTTCTCAATTTCAATTTTCATTTTTCCAATTTTTCCGTTTTCACAATGATCTGTTTTTATAATTTCTCTCTTTTTCAGTATAAAGTTTTTAAATTTTTGGACTTTTCAATTTTTAATTTCTTCAATTCTTTGATTTCAAATTTTTTGTTTCGGTTTTTTATTTTCTTTATTTTTTTCAATTATTCGACTTTTTAATTTTTTGTTTTTCCAATGTTTCGTTTCTTAAATTTTTCGATTGGTGATTTTCAATTTTTCATTTTTCTTGTTTCTCCAATTTCTAGATTTTGCAATTTTTCGATTTAAAATTTCTCGACGTTTCAAATTTTAATTTTTCAATTTTTCGTTTTCTATTTTTTTTTAATTCTTCAATAGCCTGATTTTATAATTTCTCTTTTTTCAGTATGGACTTTTTCAATTTTTGGATTTTTCAAATTTTTCGTTTCGGTTTTTTATTTTCTTTATTTTTCATTTATTCGATTTTTCGATGTTTCGATTTTATAATTTTTTGTTTTTTCCAATATTTCGTTCCTTAAATTTTTGGATTTGCGATTTTTCAATTTTTCATTTTTCTTGTTTATTCAATTTTTAGATTATGAAATTTTTTGAATTAAACTTTCTCGAGTTTTCAATTTTCATTTTTCCAATTTTTCAATTGAGTATTTTATTTCTTTTTTTTTTGGTTTTTGGACAGTCTGATATTATAATTTCTCTTTTTTTTTCAAAATAAAAATTTTCAATTTTTGGATTTTCCAAATTTTCATTTCTTCAATTTTTCAATTCAGAATTTTTCCATTTCGGGTTTTTGTTTTCTTTATTGTTTCAGTTATTCGATTTTTCGATGTTAAGATTTCATAATTTGTTTCCTTTCAACTTTTCTTTTCTTAAATTTTTCGATTTGTTATTTCTTCAATTTTTCGATTTGGAATTTTGTGTTTCGGTTTCATAGTTTCTTTATTTTTTCAGTTATTCGATTTTTTAATGTTTCGATTTTATATTTTTCTGTATTTTCAATTTCAATTAATTCAATTTTTCGTTTTTCTTATTTCTTCAATTTTTAGGTAATGCAATTTTTCGATTCAGTTTTCAATTTCTTATAGTTTTCTTTTTTTTCGTTTTTTCGATGGTCTGATTTAATAATTTCTCTTTTTTTTTTTCAATGTGATATTTTTCAATTTTTCATTTGTTGTATTTTCCGATTTGCAATTTTTCGTTTTGGTTTTTTATAGTCTTTATTTTTTCATTTACTCGAATTTATTTTTTCATTTACTCGAATTTTCAATGTTTCGATTTTATAATTGTTTGTTTTATCAATTTTTCGATTTGCGATTTTTCAATTTAAAATTTTTCTTGTTTATTCAATTTTTAGATTATGAAATTTTTCGATTTAGACGTTCTCGAGGTTTCAATTTTCATTTTTCCAATTTTTCAATTGAGTATTTTATTTCTTTTTTTTTGGTTTTTGGACAATCTGATATTATAATTTCTCTTTTTTTTTTTCAAAATAAAAATTTTCAATTTTTGGATTTTCCAAATTTTCATTTCTTCAATTTTTAATTCAGAATTTTTCCATTTCGGGTTTTTGTTTTCTTTATTTTTTCAGTCATTCGATTTTTCGATGTTACGATTTTATAATTTGTTTCCTTTCAACTTTTCTTTTCTTAAATTTTTCGATTTGTTGTTTCTTCAATTTTTAGATTTAGGAATTTTTCGATTTCAAATTTCTTGACGCGTCAAGTTTTAATTATTTAATTTTCTGTTTTAGTTTTTTCATTGTCTTTTTAATTCCCGAGCGTAAGCAAAGGAAGTATTGTAATCGAGTCCGTCGGCCGACTCTCTACTTTTACGTTTTCTCGATCTTTCATGATCCCTAGAAGACGAAGAAATAGGTCTCCCATTTCCGTCTGTCTGTCTGTCTGTCTGTCCGTCTGTCCGTCCGTCTGTCCGTCCGTCTGTCCGTCTGTCCGTCTGTCCGTCTGTCCGTCTGTCCGTCTGCCGTCCCGGATTTTTATTAGACAGATAATCTCCGAAAGTACTGGACCGATTGTTGTGAAATTTTGTACTTATATTACTTATCTAATCATCCCCACCACTAATGCGATGACGTCACTTCAAAATTGTACATAGTAAATGGGTTTTCAATTGTATAAAATAACATAGTCCTACACATGTAGTTTACAACTCCGAACTGACTTTTCACCCGAAACGTCCAGATTTTTGGAAAAAAAATCAAAATTATAAAACAACATTTTGAAATTTAATTTTTAATCTGCTAACCAGAATGCTTTGAAATGTTGCAGATGTTTTAAGACTATAAAGAGCATCATAAGTCTTTAGTCAAAAAATATTTGCTTATCCCCTCCAAAAACTTGATGACGTCAGCTCAAAAGTTTGTGGAATAAATCATATCTAAAATGTACAAAATATGATGAGTCTGTACTTGTGATCTATCACTCCATTCATATTTTTTGGATTTGCATATACAGGGTGACTCAAAAAAATTAATGAATGCGTAAATATATTTTATTGATTTAATCAGGAACTACAAAACCGAATGCTCTGAAATCTTGCAGATGTTTTAAGGTCATAAAGAGCATAATAAATGTTTAGTCAAAATATATTTGCTTATCCCCTCCAAAAAATTGATGACGTCAGCTCAAAAGTTTGCCGAATAAATCCTATCTAAACTGTACAAAATATGATGAGTCTGTACTTGTAATTTATCACTCCATTCATATTTTTTGGATTTGCATATACAGGGTGACTCAAAAAAATTAATGAATGCGTAAATTTATTTTTTTGATTTAATCATGAACTGTAAAATCGAATGCTTTGAAATCTTGCGGATGTTTTAAGGTTATAAAGAGCATAATAAATGTTTAGTCAAAATACATTTGCTTATCCCCTCCAAACAATTGATGACGTCAGCTCGAAAGTTTGCCGAATAAATCCTATCTAAACTGTACAAAATATGATGAGTCTGTACTTGTGATTTATCACTCCATTGATTTTTTTTTTTGGATTTGCATATACAGGGTGACTCAAAAAAATTAATGAATGCGTAAATTTATTTTATTGATTTACTCAGGAACTACAAAACCGAATTCTTTGAAATCCACTGCGAAAAAAAAAACATAATAGGCATGCAGTCGTCACGTTTCCGACAGCGAGGGAAGTACTGTCTAAACTCTTTAGACCAAATTTTTAATTTTTTTCGATTTTTCAATGTTTCGATTTAACACTTTTTTTGTATTTTCTGGTTCAATTTATTAAATTTTTGGTTTTTCAATTTTACGATTTGCGGTTTTCAATTTTTTATTTTTCTTGTTTCTTCAATTTTTTAAATTTTGCAATTTTTCGGTTTAACCTTTCTCGAACTTTTAATTTTTATTTTGTCAATTTTTCGTCCAGTTTCTTCATTGTCTTTTTACTTCCCGAGCGTAAGCAAAGGAAGTATTGTAATCGAGTCCGTCGGCCGACTCTCTACTTTTACGTTTTCTCGATCTTTCATGACCCCTAGAAGACGAAGAAATAGGTCTCCCATTTCCGTCTGTCTGTCCGTCTGTCCGTCTGTCCGTCTGTCCGTCTGTCCGTCTGTCCGTCTGTCCGTCTGTCCGTCTGTCCGTCTGTCCGTCTGTTGTCACGGATTTTTATTAGACAGATAATCTCCGAAAGTACTCGACCGATTGTTGTGAAATTTTGTACTTATATTAAGAATATCATGTAGATGGTAAAACGCTAACCAAAATTTGTCGAATCATCCCCACCACTAAAGCGATGACGTCACTTCAAAATTGTACATAGTAAATGGGTTTTCAATTGTATAAAATAACATAGTCCTACACATGTAGTTTACAACTCTGAATCGACTTTTCACCCGAAACGTCCAGATTTTTGGAAAAAAAATCAAAATTATAAAACAACATTTTGAAATTTAATTTTTAATCTGCTAACCAGAATGCTTTGAAATGTTGCAGATGTTTTAAGGCTATAAAGAGCATCATAAATCTTTAGTCAAAAAATATTTGCTTATCCCCTCCAAAAACTTGATGACGTCAGCTCAAAAGTTTGTGGAATAAATCATATCTAAAATGTACAAAATATGATGAGTCTGTACTTGTGAACTATCACTCCATTAATATTTTTTGGATTTGCATATACAGGGTGACTCAAAAAAATTAATGAATGCGTAAATATATTTTATTGATTTAATCAGGAACTACAAAACCGAATGCTCTGAAATCTTGCAGATGTTTTAAGGTCATAAAGAGCATAATAAATGTTTAGTCAAAATATATTTGCTTATCCCCTCCAAAAACTTGATGACGTCAGCTCGAAAGTTTGCCGAATAAATCATATCTAAAATGTACAAAATATGATGAGCCTGTACTTGTCATTTATCACTCCATTCATATTTTTTGGATTTGCATATACAGAGTGACTCAAAAAAATTAATGAATGCGTAAATTTATTTTATTGATTTAATCAGGAACTATAAAACCGAATGCTTTGAAATCTTGCAGATGTTTTAAGGTTATAAAGAGCATAATAAATTTTTAGTCAAAATATATTTGGTTATCTTCTACAAAAAACTGATGACGTCAGCTCAAAAGTTTTCCGAATAAATCGTATCTAAAATGTACAAAATATGATGAGTCTGTACTTGTGATTTATCATTCCATTCATATTTTTGGATTTGCATATGCAGGGTGACTCAAAAAATTAATGAAGGCGTGAATTTATTTTATCGATTTAATCAGGAATTACAAAACCGAATGCTTTGAAATCTTGGGAATATTTTAAAGTTATTATAAGCATGGTAAACTTTTGTTCAAAATGTATTTGTTCATCCCTCCTAAAAAAATTGATGA